ATGCTTCTATATATCATTTGACATTGTCAGTTTCCTGTAAAAATAGAGACAACACCATATGTCTTATGTGTTTGAAAGAAGTAGTCGATAACAAATTTGACAGCTAAATTGTTGAACGACTTAAGTTTGGATATCGAATGAAAAATCTTGTAATTGACTTCTGATAAGCTATATATATAATGCATGAAACTTGTCTTCAAAACTGTGATTAATTTAAAAGTAAAACAACATACACGTATGTAAATATTCATCAGTGTTGAGAATATTCTTGTCATAGTTTCGTCATTGAATGCTGTCATACTGATCACATGAAAATGCCGCATAAAACGTAGTGTCACATCATTACGTCCACCTCCTGGTGGCCCCATTGCTCCAATTAAATCAATATCTTGTAATGTCAGTTTTGTAGTATCCTTTAAATCATACCTAAAGTACAAACATGTAAAATAAGATAACGCAAATATATTTAGTAATATTTTGGACAACTATGAGGACGTTGTATATTTATTAATTACTTGATCATTTTAAATGATTTCTGTGAATCTAAATATACTACTGATCAGCTATGGGGTTACTTCAGGTTCCGATATTAGAAAACAGAGGGTTGAGCATAAGGTTAACGAACCAACATTGTGGAAAACTAACTCGCTAAATTAACGCCAAACAGAAAACATGATTCAAACCAGTTAAACTCTGAGATGGGAGTTAGAAGGGCTTCATTCAGAAGAGCTATGACGTCTCATGATGAAAGCCGAGTTCCCCCGGAAGTCATGAGACCGATGCCCCTTCTTACAACCAGAGCAACCATTCTTTTAGGTACATGGAATGTTGGTACATTGTAGGAAACCGGGAGGCTCGTCCATGTTGCTGCAGAAATGAAATGATACAACCTGAAGGTGCTTGGACTCAGGTTGGACAACTGGGACTAGCTTCAGGAGAGCTGCTGTTGCACTTCGGCCATGAAGAAGGAAATGCCTCACACACAAGCAGTTGTACTGCTGCTGTCCAAAAAAAACACAAAAGGTACTGATATAATGGGAATCTCATGGACCCAGGATCATAAAAGTATCCTTCAAAACAAAAAGAGAGGGTATTACAATGAATCTCATCCAATTCTATGCACCTACCAGCGACTACAGTGACTACGTTAAAGATCAATTCTAGGAAAGGCTTCAGTCAATCGTCGAGAGATGTTCATCAAAGGATTTGATCATTCTGATGGGAGACCTAAATGCCAAGGTTAGCATGGACAACATACGATATGACCACATCATTGGACAACATGGACTGGGGAAAAGGAACGAAAATGGTGAGACATTTGCAAACCTATGTGCCTTCAACAAACTGGTTATGGGTGGCACAATATTCCCACACAAACGAATACACAAAGCTACATGGATTTCAACGGATCACAGTACTCAGAACCAAATCGACCATATCCGTATCAATAAAAGGTTCAGGAGGACTATGGGGGATGTGAGAGACAACAGAGGAGCTGACATAGCCTCAGATCACCACTTGCTGATCGCCAAAATGAAACTGAAACTCAAGAAGCACTGAACATCACACAAGTTTAATACAGCCTTTCTCCGGGATACCGTAAACCTCAGCGAATTCAAGATAGCCCTCAGCAACAGGTTCCAGGCCTTGCAAGATCTATTCAATGGAGAGGACGCAACATTGGAGAACAATTGAAAAGGGATTAAGGAGGCAATCACTTCAACATGTCACGAAGTTCTGGGTCACAAGGTGTACCATCATAAGGAATGGATCTCTGTTGATACTCTCGCAAAAATTGAAGAAAGGAGGAACAAGAAGGCAGCAATCAATGTCAGCCGAACAAAGGAAGAGAAACTTACCGCACAAGCTGCATATACAGAAGCAAACAGGGAAGTGAAGAAGAGCATCAGAGCTGACAAACGAAAATATGTGGATGATCTGGCAATGACGGCGGAAAAGGCTGCAAGAGAAGGAAACTTGAGACAATTGTACGAAACAACAAAGAAGCTCGCAGGAATCTATCGTAAACCAGAACGACCAGTGAAAAGCAAGGAGGGCAAAGTAATCAGCAACACTGAACAACAGCGAAATAGGTGGGCAGAGCACTTTAAGGAACTCTTGAATCGACCAGCTCCACTGAACACACACAACATCGACGCAGCATCCACGGACCTCCCAATTAATATTGGCGCACCTACGATTGAGGAGATCAGTATGGCCATCAGACAAATCAAGGGCGGCAAAGCAGCAGGACCAGACAATATTCCAGCAGAGCCAATGAAAGCAGACGTGGAAGCAACTGCGAAAATATTTCACATCCTCTTCAAGAAGATTTGGGATGAGGAACAAGTTACATCAGATTGGAAAGAAGGATACCTCATCAAAATACCAGAGAAAGGCGATCTCAGCAAGTGTCAGAACTACAGAGGCATCACTCTTCTTTCAATACCAGGCAAAGTCTTCAACAGGGTATTGTTAAACAGAATGAAGGACTTCGTAGATGCCCAACTTCGAGATCAACAGGCTGGATTTCGTAAGGATCGATCACGTACTGACCAAATTGCTACATTACGGATCATTGTGGAACAATCAATTGAATGGAACTCACCGCTTTACATCAACTTCATCGACTACGAGAAAGCATTCGATAGCGTGCATAGGAAAATACTGTGAAGACTTCTTCGACACTACGGTGTGCCTGAGAAGATATTTAACATCAAACGGAACTCTTATGATGGGTTCAAGTGCAAAATCGTACACGATGGACAGCTAACAGACTCTTTCGAGGTGAAGACCGGTGTCAGGCAAGGTTGCTTACTCTCACCCTTTCTCTTTCTCCTGGTGATCGACTGGATTATGAAGACGTCGACATGTGAAGGAAAGCTCGGTATTCATTGGACAGCTAGGACGCAGCTGGACGATCTGGACTACGCAGATGACCTGGCGCTTCTATCTCACACGCAACAACAAATGCAAGAGAAGACAACCAGCGTAGCAGCAGCCTCTGCAGCAGTAGGTCTCAACATACATAAAGGCAAAAGCAAAATTCTACGATGCAACACAAAATGTACCAACCAAATCAATGCTGATGGAGATACCTTGGAGGACGTTAACACCTCTACATATCTGGGCAGCATCATCGACAACGTTTTATTTTAGCCATATTCTTCACAATTAGACAATATAAGTTGATACTCAGAGACCATGGATGATGAAGGTATATCTATTGAATATAGTAATCTTTCTCAAGATAAATCCATAATCCATTCTTAGATCATACAAATGCTTCTATATATCATTTGACATTGTCAGTTTCCTGTAAAAATAGAGACAACACCATATGTCTTATGTGTTTGAAAGAAGTAGTCGATAACAAATTTGACAGCTAAATTGTTGAACGACTTAAGTTTGGATATCGAATGAAAAATCTTGTAATTGACTTCTGATAAGCTATATATATAATGCATGAAACTTGTCTTCAAAACTGTGATTAATTTAAAAGTAAAACAACATACACGTATGTAAATATTCATCAGTGTTGAGAATATTCTTGTCATAGTTTCGTCATTGAATGCTGTCATACTGATCACATGAAAATGCCGCATAAAACGTAGTGTCACATCATTACGTCCACCTCCTGGTGGCCCCATTGCTCCAATTAAATCAATATCTTGTAATGTCAGTTTTGTAGTATCCTTTAAATCATACCTAAAGTACAAACATGTAAAATAAGATAACGCAAATATATTTAGTAATATTTTGGACAACTATGAGGACGTTGTATATTTATTAATTACTTGATCATTTTAAATGATTTCTGTGAATCTAAATATACTACTGATCAGCTATGGGGTTACTTCAGGTTCCGATATTAGAAAACAGAGGGTTGAGCATAAGGTTAACGAACCAACATTGTGGAAAACTAACTCGCTAAATTAACGCCAAACAGAAAACATGATTCAAACCAGTTAAACTCTGAGATGGGAGTTAGAAGGGCTTCATTCAGAAGAGCTATGACGTCTCATGATGAAAGCCGAGTTCCCCCGGAAGTCATGAGACCGATGCCCCTTCTTACAACCAGAGCAACCATTCTTTTAGGTACATGGAATGTTGGTACATTGTAGGAAACCGGGAGGCTCGTCCATGTTGCTGCAGAAATGAAATGATACAACCTGAAGGTGCTTGGACTCAGGTTGGACAACTGGGACTAGCTTCAGGAGAGCTGCTGTTGCACTTCGGCCATGAAGAAGGAAATGCCTCACACACAAGCAGTTGTACTGCTGCTGTCCAAAAAAAACACAAAAGGTACTGATATAATGGGAATCTCATGGACCCAGGATCATAAAAGTATCCTTCAAAACAAAAAGAGAGGGTATTACAATGAATCTCATCCAATTCTATGCACCTACCAGCGACTACAGTGACTACGTTAAAGATCAATTCTAGGAAAGGCTTCAGTCAATCGTCGAGAGATGTTCATCAAAGGATTTGATCATTCTGATGGGAGACCTAAATGCCAAGGTTAGCATGGACAACATACGATATGACCACATCATTGGACAACATGGACTGGGGAAAAGGAACGAAAATGGTGAGACATTTGCAAACCTATGTGCCTTCAACAAACTGGTTATGGGTGGCACAATATTCCCACACAAACGAATACACAAAGCTACATGGATTTCAACGGATCACAGTACTCAGAACCAAATCGACCATATCCGTATCAATAAAAGGTTCAGGAGGACTATGGGGGATGTGAGAGACAACAGAGGAGCTGACATAGCCTCAGATCACCACTTGCTGATCGCCAAAATGAAACTGAAACTCAAGAAGCACTGAACATCACACAAGTTTAATACAGCCTTTCTCCGGGATACCGTAAACCTCAGCGAATTCAAGATAGCCCTCAGCAACAGGTTCCAGGCCTTGCAAGATCTATTCAATGGAGAGGACGCAACATTGGAGAACAATTGAAAAGGGATTAAGGAGGCAATCACTTCAACATGTCACGAAGTTCTGGGTCACAAGGTGTACCATCATAAGGAATGGATCTCTGTTGATACTCTCGCAAAAATTGAAGAAAGGAGGAACAAGAAGGCAGCAATCAATGTCAGCCGAACAAAGGAAGAGAAACTTACCGCACAAGCTGCATATACAGAAGCAAACAGGGAAGTGAAGAAGAGCATCAGAGCTGACAAACGAAAATATGTGGATGATCTGGCAATGACGGCGGAAAAGGCTGCAAGAGAAGGAAACTTGAGACAATTGTACGAAACAACAAAGAAGCTCGCAGGAATCTATCGTAAACCAGAACGACCAGTGAAAAGCAAGGAGGGCAAAGTAATCAGCAACACTGAACAACAGCGAAATAGGTGGGCAGAGCACTTTAAGGAACTCTTGAATCGACCAGCTCCACTGAACACACACAACATCGACGCAGCATCCACGGACCTCCCAATTAATATTGGCGCACCTACGATTGAGGAGATCAGTATGGCCATCAGACAAATCAAGGGCGGCAAAGCAGCAGGACCAGACAATATTCCAGCAGAGCCAATGAAAGCAGACGTGGAAGCAACTGCGAAAATATTTCACATCCTCTTCAAGAAGATTTGGGATGAGGAACAAGTTACATCAGATTGGAAAGAAGGATACCTCATCAAAATACCAGAGAAAGGCGATCTCAGCAAGTGTCAGAACTACAGAGGCATCACTCTTCTTTCAATACCAGGCAAAGTCTTCAACAGGGTATTGTTAAACAGAATGAAGGACTTCGTAGATGCCCAACTTCGAGATCAACAGGCTGGATTTCGTAAGGATCGATCACGTACTGACCAAATTGCTACATTACGGATCATTGTGGAACAATCAATTGAATGGAACTCACCGCTTTACATCAACTTCATCGACTACGAGAAAGCATTCGATAGCGTGCATAGGAAAATACTGTGAAGACTTCTTCGACACTACGGTGTGCCTGAGAAGATATTTAACATCAAACGGAACTCTTATGATGGGTTCAAGTGCAAAATCGTACACGATGGACAGCTAACAGACTCTTTCGAGGTGAAGACCGGTGTCAGGCAAGGTTGCTTACTCTCACCCTTTCTCTTTCTCCTGGTGATCGACTGGATTATGAAGACGTCGACATGTGAAGGAAAGCTCGGTATTCATTGGACAGCTAGGACGCAGCTGGACGATCTGGACTACGCAGATGACCTGGCGCTTCTATCTCACACGCAACAACAAATGCAAGAGAAGACAACCAGCGTAGCAGCAGCCTCTGCAGCAGTAGGTCTCAACATACATAAAGGCAAAAGCAAAATTCTACGATGCAACACAAAATGTACCAACCAAATCAATGCTGATGGAGATACCTTGGAGGACGTTAACACCTCTACATATCTGGGCAGCATCATCGACAACGTTTTATTTTAGCCATATTCTTCACAATTAGACAATATAAGTTGATACTCAGAGACCATGGATGATGAAGGTATATCTATTGAATATAGTAATCTTTCTCAAGATAAATCCATAATCCATTCTTAGATCATACA